AATTTACCCAAATCCCTACGTACCCAACTCATCTGTATTGCTGAAGCTTTGACTATCGAAACAGAAAAGCCAGATCTCTGTGTACAGAAAAAGTTCGCTCAACCCCTCCAACTTTCATGGTCTTAATCCCTCTATGCTAAAACATGGTAATCCCCAATCATATTTTAGCTCTACCAATTTTATCGTTTTGTCTATTCAATTTGTATACTCTTCCTTATTACGTCAATTGTTATTATTACTATTCTCACTTTGAACTGTCCCCGGTACTATAATTTCACTTGTCATTCTAAATCAATTCTTTTTTACAACGATAAATTCTACGCTATTAAATTTCACACAATATTACGTAGCGTCTTTGTTTTATTCGATTTGTCTACTAATCCTATAATTGCACACCCTTTTTCAAGTTCTATCCATCCTATGAATTATTCTATATATGACACTAATTTGCTTTGCCACTTGATATTTAACTATGAGTATAATTGCATTTCATACTATAATTATTATTTTGTGCATTCACACCTAAGATTCATTTCCCTTACCGGATATAATTTCTTAAAAACCATACACATACGATTGTACAGCTTGATAATAAATTCATTGTTTAAAAGAGTCTCTTCGCTGAATATTGTGTTCTTGATATACAAGTTGCCTCAATCTAACTAAGTACTTCTCTAAAGCCAAGTATTCATCAGCTCTGAAGGAGGCATTGTCCTTTTAGACCGAGTACAAATGTTGCAACTTGAATTAACATAGTGAACTCTCAGTTCTATACTGCCGTCCACATAGTTAGTAAATTATAAATAAGTAGGACCTAAGGATGCATAGATATGTAAATTATGATAATACTGATTTACTATTATAAGTAAAACATGGGAATGCTATGCGTTTACTGTATTCTTATCTAAAGAGTTAGATTTTTGTCAAGACTTGTTAATTTCCAACTACCACTGGAAGGTTGTCTATAACTTTGGTTGTATGTATGTCAAAGCGTAAATATTTTTGTAGATGAGTTCAGATGATCTTCAAAAAGTGTGTTGTCGTCATGCCACCTGAAGAACAGCATTAGAAGCTTGAGGGAGTAGTTACGAAAGATCACAAACTCCTACATACACTGCAACTTATTGTTATCCAAGTGAAATTGCACGCGTCATAGGACTAGCTGACATCCTATTCATCGTTAACTAACTAGATCAGTGAATGATAAAAAGATGAATAGTTGTTCATTTGAGAATATGTATATTATGAAAGTGAAAGCTATTCATCCAAATGAAATAAAAGAGAGAAAAAAGTTTCAAATTAAATTCAATCATCATCATCATCAACAACGTCATACATCACAGAACTGGCCAATTATTTGAACTTGTCGATTACGAATCCTGGATAATTCCTCTTCAAACTGTGAAATTATGAAGAAAGAAAAGGTAAAATTCAAAAATAGTATTACACCATTTTAATTTTTATAGGGAAAATAAATAAATGTTATCTATAGCTGAAGGCATGTCTAACTGACTAACTGGTTTCAGCAGGGAACTTTGCCCAGAAGTGTACCAGTTCGAGACGCCAGGCTCTCCCACCGTGTGGCACACAAAGCAATAGAAGAGAATAAAGAGAGATAATAGACAGAAGTGTGTGAGTGAGGGTTTTATCGGATATGATATGAAAAATCACGAAGAGTGAATGCATCTGCGCCAGCCATTGCCATTGAGAACCATTTTGGGCCATATCACCACCAATTGTCTCCAGCCTTCATTGGTTCTTACCATCCCGAGGGCTCCAACCGGTCCACAATTCTCTACGTGGCTGGTTGGCTTAAACTAACTGTTGTGAATTTCATTGACTGATTTGACCATCACTAGCTCTTTTCCAACCTGATCAATCCTATGTCATCGAAGATTGCCCGTCGAGAAAGGCAGAAGATAGCTACGCATGTCTTGAATATTACATACTGAAGCTTTGTAACGATGTCAATATGTGCTAACCAACTTCCTTGTCTGTCTGGATTCAACATAGAACTTCGCACCGAAGTGCAGCAGTCCGAGCTGCCACGTTCCAAATGGCTTACAAAGGTAGACAAGAAGATGAGTGGAGAGAGATAATAGAGTTTCACAAGTATAAGAGTGAAACAGAATGGGTAATGGTAGAAAGGAATATGAAAGATTACAGAGACTGAATACATCTGCGCTGGCCATTGACAACGATCACTTTGAGCCATGTCATCTATTGTCTCCAGCCATTGATTCCTAAAGTCCCGAGGGCCCCAACCCGGGAGTCTGCTGCTCCCTACCTGACTCAGTTTAACTGTCAAGGATTTCATGGATTGATGAGGCCATGTTTTTGTTTGGCCACCACTGACTCTTTTTCAACCTGCACCTATATCAGCTAATAATGCCCGACGGGGGAGGCAACTTCCTTACTATTGTTTGGCATAATATAAGTGATTATCATCAACTTGGTGGGCGAAGTTAAAGAACAGCTGTTCAAGAGGAACCGACGCAACAATGAATGCCATACAAATGACGAGTAGAATCAACTTGGTCAATTCGGACGAAAGGAGAGAAACAGATATCACCATCCATCCATTATAAAGAAAGGCATCCTGTTTGATCCTCCTGAGATATCCCAGCATTCCTTTCTGAATATAGTGTGTTTGTATCTTACTTCGTTCCACTAACTTCTAGGTGAAGACGCTCACAAAATGCAGAGTCTTCTGAACACTTTGAGCGGCAATTTGCGAATGTTTGGCATGCGATTCAACCCCTTTGTCAAATGTAACATGGTGCTACAGGACTGGAATACATTGACTCTTAGCGTAGAAATAGGGAGTGAAGTGGTTGAGCACGTTGACCACTTCACTTATTTGAAAAGTTGCATCAGTCCCAGCGGGTTGATGACCGACGAAATCTCAGAACAGATACAGAAGGCTCGTTTCGCATATGCCAGTTTACGCCGTCTCTGGCGTTCGAGCAAAGGACGTGTGGCACACTGCTCAGCAATCCGCTCCGTCCCTCCTTTATGGCTGTGAGACCTGGCCATTGAGAATGAAAGACATGAAAAGGGTAGCTGTCTTTGAATATAGGTGTCTGCGTTCCATCTTCCACGTTAAGTGGCATTATAGGGTGAGTAATATTGAGGTCGAGTGCTAGGTAAGGAGGGGGAATCAAAAGACGAAGATGTGAAGTAACATCGATTGAGGTGGTTAGGACATGCGTTACGTATGCCTAACCATCGCCTTCCTCAACGGGCAATATTAGCTGAAATAGGATGGATAAGATTGGAAAAGAAGCAGTGGTAGTCAAACCAAAACATGACATCATCAGTCAATGAAATCCACAACAGTTAGTTCAAGCCAGCCAGTCACTTAGAGAGTTGTTAACCAGTTGGAGACCTTGGGATGGTAAGAACCAATGAAGGTTGGAGACAATTGGTGGTGATATGGCTCAAAATCGTTCTCAATGGCTGGTGCAGATGCATCCACTCCTTGTGACTTATAATACGCAATAAAACTACATTGTTCTTCGATATTACTATTCTTTTTGTCTCATATCTCCGTCTACTGTCTCTATTATGCATTTCGCTTTGCTTTCTTTTATTGCTTTGTGTGCTGCAAGTAGTGCAGTGTGGCGACTCGAACTGATGCACATCGGTGTCAAGTTCTATGTTGAAACCACCAGCCAGTCACTACTTTCATCTGATGACGCTCTAGGTTTTTAGTGCGTTCGCTCGCCTGGATCGCCATTCTCTAGCCTGACATCTTGACGTGCATATAAGTTAATGTTATCTTGATGTAGTATGTTACATGAAGTAGCACTAAGTCGCGATAAATTAGGGATAATCATATCAATGTGTGCTGTGAATCTCAATATTCCCCTAATGTATATATATATATATATTAAGTGTTAATCCAATCGAAATGGATTTCTAAAGGCTACAGAAACTACCAACTGAAGAGTTTTCTTCTCAGCAAAGTCTACAAACTAATTTCACAAATTTACGCATATTCATGCCTAATCGTGACATGACTTCATATTTCTGTAGACTCTTTTCTCTCTGGACATCGATCCTTGTTGTTACACTTGACAGTCTAGGCATACTTGTTTTTCAGTTCCCTTACGTTTGTCTAATGACAGTATACGGCGGTGAAAACAAACACCACAATGGCCAAGGGAAGAGAAGAGGGTTTATCCTCCGCACCCCCTTAAGTATGATTTTGCTAGTGGTGTGTACGGTTATATGAACGGTTGCTACTTTCAAGTGTCATTGTTAGTACTGACTATTCTTCATTTTACGTTCGTTTTTAATTTTTCTACAGCTTGCAAATAAACTAGCCTGTAACACTATCAAACACCCCAATACTCAACTTGAATTTACCAGGCCTTGAAAGAGCTTATGCGAAGGTGTCATCTGAAATGATGATAACCGATGTTGTCTGTCAGGAATGGCTAAGCGTCCCCAGTTTCATTTAATTTCATCATGAATGTGACCCTAAATGACCTCAACGATTCAGGGATTAACTTGTTACCACGGAAATGTCTCGACGATGTGAAATACACTAATGATATAATCCTTCTAGGTGAAGAATGGTGACAGAATATGCATGGAGTCTACTAAACACCTTGAGCATGAACATATGTACAAAATGGAGGATTTAATCATGAGCTTACATCAGTTAGAGAACCACTGGGAAACCTGGGAGTACTGGACGGCTGTTTCGTCCTAGTTTGGGACCCCTCAGCAGTACGCACCCACCGGGGTTCGAACCCAGGACCTTCTGGTTACAAGGCGAGCTCGTAGACCATTGAGCCACTGGGACCCGTAGGGTACAGCAGGTTGAAGATGAGGCAGTAACTCATCGAAGAAGACATTGCGAAGTGGTCGCGCTATGTCATGAACTGGCAGAAGTTAGAATTCAAGGACCATTGGATCGGGTCCCAGTGGCTCAATAGTCTACGAGCTCGCCTTGTAACCAGGAGGTCCTGGGTTCGAATCCCGGTGGGTGCGTACTGCTGAGGAGTCCCAAACTAGGACGAAACAGCTGTCCAGTACTCCCAGGTTTTCCAGTGGTTCTCTAACTCATGTCAGCTCATGATTAAATCCTCCATGCAATCAAACAAAATCCCTACAACAAACCAATACTCAAAAAATTTGTACAAAATCACACACCGAGCAGATTGGACTGCTCATTGATGCGCTGCCCTTTGAAGAATTGTAGGACTTACAGCAGTACGCCTACAAGCCCTCTCAGGTTGACGCTCTAGGTTGGAAAATCGTTGCAGAGTTCATTTGCTGACTTCCTTCTATCAGCTATATCCTCAAATCTGAACGGTAACACGCTCATGTCATTGTATCGTAGAATATAGATGACGAACAAACACACGAAGTATCTGGTCAACCAAGCGTAGGCACAGAGTAATTTACACCAAAGATAATGACATTCAAATAGTAACTTGAAACTAGAAATGCCTTTATTCATGCAAGTCAATTTAACAATTACTCTTTCGTTTACACTTGTCTTATCCTCACTAAACTGAGCAATATCTTTGGTTTTTTCAAATGCATCAATACTATCAAAGTCATTGTACAAGATACTTGAGTTGATGGGCGTCTGTTTCATTGAGGATGACAGCACCAACGACGACTGATTGATACCAGTTGATGAAGTTAGCGGTGGATCAAAAGCTGTTGTTGCTCGGCTTTCAGATAGTTGTCTAACTGCAAGACCACCACCACTGCTGTCTTTTACTATCAGCTCAGGGTTAGCAATAGCATCTGATGATAGGTGGGCTACATGCTGATAAATCACACTGACGGTCTGACAAGTATGCATGCCTTCTGCAACTGCAACTGCATTTATTTCTACTTCACGTTGTAGTTGTGCAGAAACTTTACTCAACTTAGCAGTAGTAGTAGGCATTTCCCCCATTTCATCATGATCGACCAAAGACAAATCTGCACTATCATGATCATTATCACAAATATTCGACTTACCATCATCTATCTGGTCGACTTCATCATTTTCAAACTCTTTAATAACAGAAGTAGACAATTTTGGTTCCTCCTCGCAAATCCTAAAAGGTTTTATAACTTCACTCTGACTAGTAATACCTTGTTAACTTGTGGAGTCAGAACTGCACTCTGAAGCAGCAACTCTCTTCTGTGACACTCTATTAAACAATGGCTTACCAGTTGCAACTACAGTTTTCTTGACCGCATCGTTATTGTCACACAATTCGGAGTCAGGCCTGGAGTTTACATTTAGCTTATCACTGAACTTGCTTACTGGTTCACAGTTCACCTTTGTATGCACCTCTTGCAAACGTGTAAAACACAACCGTGTTTGTCTTGCATCTTGTAACTTATCTGTTGAGGATGTACTACGAAACCTGTTACAGTCACTAGGTCCTTATGCATTACTATACATCATGGAGCCTTCTCGATATCCACCTCTCTTAGGCCCTTTCGTCATCAATGATTGCATTTTACCCTCAGACTGCTCTATTCTAGGGGTGAGGTTCAATATACTGGCAAACTTGCTCATAGATAGATTGACACTATCTTTTACTAGTTTCAGGATATCATCAAATTTTGGCTCGATACCCTCATCCTCCATACGGGAGCTTATCTTCACCCACTTCCTTTGCAGTCGAGTAGGTAGGCGTCTTGCTATTACTTCTAGTATAAAACTCGAGTTGAGGTCACTCATGAAATTCATAAAAATCAAGCTATTCTTATAAGTCATAAGATTATCTAAAAACTCAGTAAGTGCCTTGGAGTCATCTTGAAGTTGACTGCCGTTACCTTTGACAGCTTCGTATACGTTCCTTACAATCATTGAAGGTCTTCCAAACCTTTGACGTAATATGCTCATAGCCTCAACGTATCCCTCATTAGGAGGCATGAGCTTACAGCACTGTATAGCTCTTGAAGCATCTCCAGTGCAATACCTCATCAAATACATTAACTTCATTTCATCAGTTAATAAAGTAGGACTTAGCATGATCTCAAAATACTTTACAAATTGTAAATGTTCAGCGGGTTTCCATTGAAACACCGTGGTTCAAATTTAGGGAGTTTGATGTTCCTATTATCCCTGGACGGCGAATTAGTAACATCAACCATGTCATAATAAAAATAATATATATTCTCATTTTTTACATGAGGGACGCCAGTTTACAGGCATCATCAATTCGATAAGTTACACATAATATTAATAAGCATATTTAGTAAAGATAATATAATAAGGTACATTTTTTTCCCTAGCTATGTAGGGTACACCAATTGTATAGGCATGCATAAATATTGTTTTAGTAATAATAATATATTTCTTCCTGTTTATGCAGGAACATACCAATTGTACAGGCATGGATAAGTTATCATATAAATTACACATGATTTGGTGTATAATGGATTTACAGTTTGGTTGTTCTTTCTGTCATTAGAGTCCATCGGAACAGTCTGCTATAAAGTCTGTTTGTGTAGCACATAAAGAGATATAGAAACATTGCCTTCGCATTCACAAAAAACCAGATATCAGATGGATGTAATACAAATATCTGGGAAAAATAAAGCTTGAAGTCAATTCTCCTATATAACTTTGTTGTGAACAACACCGGTGGCTTAAAGATTATTGATGTATTATGTTGAGATCAGTGATATATTTATTCCATTTTTCAGCAGTCTTATCGTAGTTTTATAACAGGAAAGAAATTTGATCGTGGAGGCGAAAACTAGATAAGGTCATGTTGGGTTGTTTTATTGCATCAAATGGTGTCGAGGTCGATTCCAGAATTCTACATTTGCGCCATTTGTGTCTGCATGGCGGACTGTACTCGTAAGTTGAGTAAAATGTTGAAAAACTATTTGAAAACCAGTTGCTTCTTCATTTCAGATGATGAATACTCATTTACAGCATGTTCGCCAGCGTCTTCAAATGGTAGAATTGGATCGTTCCTGGAATTTGATTGATTATGGGATAAAAGGTTTGAGATTAATCATAGCAGTTAGAATACAGTTAAGCATGCAGAGAAGTATAACTATATTTTACTAGTTTACACACAATGATAAGCTTTGTTATTGGTAATATTTCGAGCAAAATTGCTGCCCGTGTTCACACCACTGTTGGAATTGTTTTATTCCTCGAATAAAACGAATAAAACAATTCCAACAGTGGTGTGAACACGGGCAGCAATTTTGCTCGAAATATTACCAATAACAAAACTTATCATTGTGTGTAAACTATTAAAATATAATTATACTTTATTTGATCTAATCCACAATGCTCAAACGTTTTACTGATATTAATGCAGAGAAGTACTTTTGATTCAGCAACCGGTGAATTTTTTATTCTTTTCGATCTGGTATCAGAATAACCGCGGACCATTCCATTCAATATGTCGAATAAGGCATGCAGGAGCAGATCATTACCATCGAATGAATCAACTTGATCTGAGATGCAGCTTTCAGCATGTTTTCGTTATACCATAGATATCCAGGTTTATTGGCGCTGTACAGGCAGTGATTGGGATTATGACGTATTCTACAGAGTCTCCGTGCCCATTTGAAGTATACATACGCTTTGAAAGGATTACTTTGTTGGCTCCTACCCCCACTGAGTGTTTACAACAGCAGCTGTGGATTTATGTATTTCCTCGCCATTTTGGATAAAACATAGCCGCATTCTTTTTGGGTAGGAGACCAGTTGTTCAAGTAACTTTTATCTTTTCATGTGGTGTCGCGGTAAGTTTCTACCTTGTTTTCTCATATTTCATTCGTATGTTGGTTATGGTTCGCCCTTTGTATCAGGTAGACATAGTTTGATCGACTCTTGATTGAATGGGTGTTATTGTCATGACTGCTGCTTTTTTGTCTGGAATTATAAATAGAGGCAAAACAAACAACAGGTGTAGTCTCTGAGTTCATACATTAAATGGGCCTATGATTTCTGAAACTCTTACATGGGAATTACCACTGGTATCAATTACAAACTCACTTAGTGTGTCATTAAGTGTCTTTTCAAAGGAGACCAACGTGCTTGCTAGTCGCGTTTTCTCAGGTAGTTTGTTCCATATTTGGGCATACCTAACCAAGAAAAACTTTTGCCTGGTGGCTGCTTTACACGGTTCTATAGCCACTGTACCTTTAGTGTGTCTAAGGTTGTATCCTGTGTTACCTGAGAACTGAGTATAGTTAGCAGGAGTATACACTATTTGGTTAAGAAGCTTATAGAAGAGTACCAGATTTAATCGCAGTCGCCTTAACCGTAATGTTTCCAGTGCCAGGATTTCACATCTGGTAGAGTAGTTTGTGCCGTTATCGGTTCCGAGTACTTTTCGCGTGAAGTAACTCTGTACTCCTTCTACTTTCAGGTTGTTTTCTATGCGTGTACTACTAAATATGAATGAGCAGTAATCTAGGAGTGGGCGCACACAAACCTTGTACAGTAGTATTCTGGATTCGTTTCTGTAGAAGTTCCTGAGTGGGAAACCAATAAGCCTTCGTGATTTCGACACTTGATTCGAGATATGCTCTGAAAATGATAGGTTGTGTGAATATTTCAGTCGTAGGTCTAGTACAGATTTGAGTCTGGGGATTTTGTGGCCCTGAATTGCCAGGTTGAGTTCAAGGTTGGAAAAGCCTCTGCAGAGCCATCCACACTTTTCAGCATTAAACTCTATTCCCCAGGTGTCACACCATCTATCCATTTTTGCTAATTCTTCATGTATGGAGTTCATAGTTGGGCCGATATCTGTATTTGTGGAGGTATATGTCATGATTAACATCAGACACATCGTTACAAGTAACAGACGAGACACCATGACTTACTTTCCTGTTTGCATCCAAGACGCTCTGTCCCTTCTTTGACCCAGGCATTGTTGAACTTGACCCAATTCCAAAATCGTTCCAGATATTGCATGTTCAAAGAAGACTTGACCGTCACCAGGAAAGATGAACGGTGACTATCCAAACTTTCACCAACTGTCTGAATCCGCCAGAATCTGTTTCTACCGTCAGAAACTGACAGCCACGTCTCGTAAACCGTTAATTCCCAGCTCTTGCTACGCTCGGGCTCACGCTGTTCCTTGAAGTTTCTCAGAAACGCATAGTATTAACGGACGCAAAAACCAAAACACCGATTGGCCATTCGATAATTCTTTATTGTAACACCAACATATAAAAAATGTTATCACTAAGGTCTGTGAACAAATATTACAATAATAAATCACAATATTACTTCTGACAGTTTTGGTCTGACTTCTTTCTGAACAGCGACCGATGAGACGATGACTGTCGTATTGATGCCTCCGCGAAAATTGGGGAAGTTGGTTTTGAGCAAACAACAATGAATTGATCGTTCAAGCTTCAACTATTTTGACAACATTTGTTTATATCTAAAATGAATCTTATCTTACTATTCCATAAGTATAATCCTGTGTATTCAAATTTTCCAGAACAACATATTATAACTTTCTACTACTTATTTGCTCAATGCTGCACGATTATTCCCTGATTTTCTAAACCACATTTGTTTATATCTAAAATGTAGACTCCGATGGTCTATTTTCCTTATAGTTTTCTTTTTCAAAATGCTGTAACAGACGAATCATACATGATGTTCTTCTGAAAGTAGTCATTCATACCATAGCTTGCAGTGATTCGACGAATATTTGGAAAAAATGTTTGTGGCAAATTGCTATGAAAACTTAAAAATAATAATAATAAAATAAAAAATAATTAAAAAACTGAAGCATTCCGCCAGGGCCTTGCACAAAAAAGGTGGGAGGTTGGTGATTGCTAGTCAGCGGATATGATGGTGGGGACACATGAGAACCACCCTTATCTGTGGGACAGCACTCTATTGCTAAGGCTCCTGAGTTCGAATGGCTTCTGCAAAATGAGAATAAATAAAAAAGTAAAAATAAAAAATAATAATAAAAAAAGAAATAGAAGTTGAAAATTGCCTAAAGCCAAGGTTTAGATAGAAACTCCCGAATGAAAGTAAATGGTGTGAGTCCGCTACTTCAGAAGGACATCTAACTGTATACTTCGGAAAAACAGATATTATTAGACCCTCACTTTTCTTTCACATAGCTCACGCACTCTGACTTTTGTGTTTAACTCCTTTTCAACCTACATAAGTAGGTGAAATTATCACCTGTCTTTCACTTTAAACTAATTGTTCGCAGAAAAGTCTGTAAAATATCGGGAAAATAATATTTCTTGAAAAAAAACACAACAAAAAATGATGAAACCCAAGCCTGTTATATATTTTGAATTATTAACACCTTTTTATATACTTCTGCATCTGTCTGCCGGTTTTCTTGTGTCTTCTTCTCTTTTCAAACATACTGCTTTCAACGAAGGTACTGATACAGCGCCGCTATTCTCCACTTATTAGTGATATTGCTAGCTCATCTGGTGAATAACGGGATCATCGGTATTATAAAATCTGCTGACAAGTTCAAAGTCGGTCTCATGAACAACTGGAAATGTCACAAATATGATGTACTTACAGGTGAATTTATGTTTAATAGACTTTGAAACACTTTATGAATCATTTACTGATAAGTATTGATTATTCTGCATCTCCTATGTATCACGTCAGCACCTGTACAGAAATGCTACTTACCTTCCTCAACTAACGCAACCATTTATGATTCCTGCGTGAAATAGACACGTATTTTTTTCAATCACCGTTTAGATTTGACGCTATATCTATTTCCTTATTTGTACACTTCATTTTAAATGTTTCTCTCACATTTACCAGTTTTCAACTTATTTATTGATTAACAAATCATATTATATATTCTATAAGTTTTGATAAGTGTACGTATGTTCATGCCAGTAAAAATGGCTGGTTACTGTTCCAGAAATAAAAATATTTTATTATATATATTATATATTATATTATATATATATATTACATATTATATTATATATTATATTATGCCTGTTTCCTCGCTGCTCGTCACTGCCTGTCGCATTATCCAATCTACTGCAATCAGGAAAATCATTAGCGATAATACACAGCCTCTCCTCACTCCCGTCCTCACTTCGAAGGCTTCCGTAAGTTTCCCGTTGTGAACTACTTGGCATGCAGCATTGTCGTATAACTGTTGGATGAGATGTATAATTGTCGATAGCATCCCATAGTAGCGAAGTAGTTGCCAAATCACCTCTCGATCGACGGTGTCTGGTGAAGGCCTTTTCAAAGTCAATGAAGTTGAGATAGAGAGGTGACTGCCATTCTAAGCTTTGTTCAATGATGATCCGTAGAGTGGTGATTTGTTCAATACATGACTTCTTTCTCCTGAATCCAGCTTGTTCCAGTCGAAGTGTTTTATCTGGGGCTTGTTTGATTCTCTCCAGGATGATGCGGCTTAGTATTTTGCTTGGAATGGACAAGAGCATAATTCCACGCCAGTTTTTATATTGACTTAAATCTCCTTTCTTTGGAAGTTTGAATAAGTATCCTTTCTTCCAATCCTCGGGTACTTTGCCCTCTTTCCACACCTTCTCCAGTAGTGGCGTATCAGAAAGAACAACCACACTGTGAATTCATCACACCAAATAATGTGTAATTTATATGATAACTTATCCATGACTGTACAGTTGGTATTTATTTTGATTTATTTTTTATTTTATTTTGATTTACAGCTTGATTCCACACCGTATTTTTGGTACAAGTATGGAATTTTCAGCGTGGATATCGGTAGCCCAAATTTTGCAGGCCGACCATAGATATCAGGTGTGCGCCGGCGTGGGCTCGAACCCCGGACCATGTTCATGGTTGGCGAGAGTCCTAACCACGGTGCCACCGACGTTCCTGCATAAACAGGAAGAAATATATATTATTATTATTCTCCAGTAGTGGTGTCATCAAGTCCGCTGTTGTCTCTGGGTCCATTTTCAATGCTTCTGCTTGGATTCCATCTGGTCCTGCTGCTTTTCCGGTTTTTAGCATCTTGATTGCATTCAGGACCTCTGATTTCGTCGGAGGGTCGATGTTCACGGGTAGTTCTGCCTCCGTTGTTGGTATTGTTGGGCGCGTTGTAGGTGGCGGTCGATTTAGAAGTCTTTTGAAGTGTTCAGCCTAGTGTCTTCTTTGTTCCACCTCTTTGGTGATTGATTTTCCATTGTCATCCTTTAGTGGCTTAATCTGTGTCGAACTTTTTCCCGATAGGTGTCTAGTTGTTTGGTAGAGTGTTGCTGCGAGATCTCCTTTGCCTGCAGCTTGTTCCGCTTCACTTTCCATGGTTTCATAATATTTTCTTTTGTCTTCTCTGGCACTCTTCTTCACTCTTTTGTTCAGTGTATAGTAGCTTGAATTCAACTCCTGTATTGTTGCTCGTCAGTGCACTGGATTATCTTTTGTCTTACCATCCTTCTCTCTTCTATTAGTCTCCAAGTGTCCGTAGTGAGCCACTGTTTGTCCTGCCTCTTCTTTCTGCCTAGAACTTCCATGCAGGTTTTACTCCACATCGTTTTCAAGTTGTCCCAGTGCTTTTCGACGCCGACCTCTTCGCTGGTGTTGATTTGTGTCTCGGCTTTGTCCTTTACGCTTGCAATGAAGGTGTCCTTTGTAGCCTGGTCCTTCAGCATTTGAGTGTTGAACTTGGCTTGTGGTCTGTCTGCAGCTCCTCCTTCTCTGAATGCTTTTATTTTGATTTGGATTGTCCCTTGTACGAGATAGTGGTCTGAGCCAACGTCTGCTCCTCTTCTTACTTTTGTGTCCAGTGGGCTAGGTCTCCACTTCCTTGAGATTGAGATGAAGTCAATTTGGTCTGTGGTTCTCCCATCTGGTGACACCCATGTAGCCTTGTGGACATCTTTGTGTTTGTATACACTGCCACCAATCACTAGTTCGTTGAAGGCGCAGAAGTCGGCGAAGAGTCCTCCATTTTCATTCATTTCTCCGAGAGCTTCTCTACCCATGATGAGTTCCCTTCCTGTGTTGTCTGGTCCTAGCTTGGCGTTCATGTCTCCCATTAGTATTTTAATGTCGCCAGCTGGAGTATTGTCCATTGCTGCCTGTAGTTGTCTGTAGAATTCTTCTTTCTTTTCGGGGTCTGCGTTGTTTGTGGGTGCATAACATTGTATGATTGACACTTTCCTTCCTTTCGAGTTGAATCTGGCGGTCATTATCCTGGACGAGATCGCCTCCAATTGCATTAGGGCCTTTGTTGCCGTTGGTGACATCATGATAGCCACGCCCTCGGTGTGCGTGTGGTTATCTTCTGGGTGACCGGAGTAGATCACTGACTCACCCGTTGACAATTTGGTGAGTCCATTCCCATTCCATCTGCTTTCAAATATTCCCAGCACTTGGATTCCGTATCTTATCATCTCGTTTGCGATCTGGGCAGCTTCCCCTGTCTCGTACATAGTGCGGACGTTCCATGTCCCCACACAGACGTTTTCTTTTGGTGCAAAGAGGCTCATCGTGCTGAAGATTCTGTAGCAATATTGTTTACAGGGTGGGGTTGCTAGCCTCACGCCTGAGAAGGGAATGGTTACATTGAGATAAAGTTTAGAGAGAAGCGACCTTTTGGGTTGCTCCCCTTAAAATCAGATAACAAGGGATAAAACAATCAGAACAACACCAACAAAAGCAAAACGATTCACAGCAAAAAGGTCAAAAAGCGACAACAACGATACAATATAAAAACAACATGCAATATAGTTCAGCACAGTTAACTAAAAT